TAAATAAACTAGCCAGTAATATATCAGCTTATAATTTATCTAATCTTAGTATATCTTTAAACTTACTAATAGCATATTACCACAAAATCTTATAATAATCTTATACCCGATATTTAAGTGTTTTAATCTAGCTATAATCTGATATTTGATATATTTTATCAAAATCTTTAGCCTATCGGCCTGTTATTATCATTATAAAAAATCTGATTATAGTCTTCATCATATCGGCCTGCTATCACTCTTTCTGATTATTTACAGATATTTAGATAATATTTTTAATTTTAACCAGTGCGATCGACTGATATTATTAATAATATATAATGATTATTAAAAAATTTGTAAATTTTTTATAAACTTTAACAATTATTTTTTCAATAACTAATAATTCAAATAAGCTCAAATTTTAACTATATATAAAAAAGATATTCATCTATAATATATTATAAATTTTAGCTAATTTAAATTAGTAGTTTATAAAAAATCACTAATATATAATACTAATTTTTTTTAAAAAAATTGTTTATTATATACTAACAATTTCTTATGAACTATTAATTAAAATTAGCTAAAATTTAAATATGTTATAATAAATATCATTTTTATATATAGTTAAAATTTTAAATTATTTGAATTAGTAATTATTGAGAAAATAATTATTAAAGTTTATAAAAAATTTATAAATTTTTTGTTATATATTATTAGTAATCTCTAATATTTATACTCAATAAGAGTGTTGTATATCAATATAAATTAAGAAATTACTAACAATATATATCAGTTTACAAATTTTAGTGATATATAACAATATATATAAAATCTAATAAATTAATTTATAAATTTCTTAAGTTTTCTTTGATCTTTTTTAGCTAAAAACTAATTTGAAATAATTAAATATAACATATATTAGAGAATAAAGAGTATAATATTATATTAAGATAACTAATAGTTTAGTTTATGTAATAAAAATATAGATAGAAATCTTTAAATTTTGAATATCTGTTTTTCTTTTTAATAAAGTTTCTACTATAATATTATAATAATAATAATAATAATAAATTCTTTAAATATATATCTTCTCTAAATACATGTTTATAACTAGTTTCAAAGATATGTATTTAGAAAGATATAACTATATTAGCTAAAAAATTATTTAAAATTATTTAAATTTTTATAATTATTAAAATTAATTTTTACAATAATACACAGGAACCATACAAAAAATACGGGACATTTTGGCCTGCATTAACGTAATTTTATAATTTTGGCCAGAAATTATTTTTTAATTTTTTTATTTTAAGTAGTTGTACGTAGCATGTTTTTTGTAAATTATATTACTTAGTCAATCACAATTGAGGATCTGCCGCGCATTTTCTTTGTGCGGTTTCTAGGTTAAAATTATATAAAGTAATTTTCAAAATAAGTAACAGTAACCTTACTCTTAGAGTTTTGACAGGGTTTTAGAAAGTTTTATTTTTCATGTTAAAATCAAGTTTAACCGGAAAGAAAACCGGTTCAAAACTCTAATAATTTGCAATTACTACATTTTTTATTTACTATATTAAGCTAAAATTTTAAACAACGATAAAACGAAAAAAAAGTAATTATAGCAAAAATTGAATTGAATACATCAATTTTTTTTTACCAATTTGGACAATTTTTTTTCAGTTAACGTTAAGTAATTATAACAAATAATACGTTTTATAATAAGTCAAACCTAATTTTTTTTTTAAAAAAGATTTAGTCCATCGTTATCGAGATACGAATAGTTTCGTACAATTATATAGCCTTATATATTATTATTAACAAAGAAATTTTAATTAAATATAATTATATTAATAATTATTAAACAATAAATTACAAGAAATTTGTGTTACATTGTTTTTAATCTTTAAAAAGAAAATGCTTGGCACGGGGAGAGTTAGAGAAATATCGTAAATTAGAATAATGTATTGTACATCTTAATGCTAATAATTTTCAATCTCGTACATAATTACTTTTTAATACGTACGTATATCGATAACGTATTAGATTTTCTTGGAAAGTACTTTAATTATTTGATGCTGCATTGCATTATCAGTATACGTATGATATTAAATTTATTTATCGAGAAACAAAATGATTACATATATAGTAATTAAAAGTTACAGATTTTTATTATTTTTAGTGCGTGTTACTCAAGATTTTTAATTGGCTAAATTTTTAGGTTTTCATAACCCGGGTAGGTAACTTTTTTTTAAAAAATTGAAATTTCAAAAAGTTTTTAAAATTTTCAATTATATGAAAAAAAATTTCTAGTATTTAAATTTTATGAAACCAAAAAAAAAAAAAAAAATTAACTTGGGGGGCTTAAAGTAAAAAATAAATAAATTAAATAAATAAATAAATTAATTAATTAATTAATTAATTAATTAAAATAAAAAACAATAAAATTTTTAAGAATCACAAAAGTTATTAATTTCATTCAATTGGGTATTATTTAAATTTTTTGGAAAATGATGCATAAGTATCCATGCACGTGAAAAATAGACAAAATTGTAATTTGCAATTCTTCATCGTACATAACGTATGTAATGCGTATTTAATCAAAAATTTTACGAATTAGCATTTGTGCATTAAATAACAGATAAAAACATAAGTAACACGTAAATAAATATATTTTTTTGATATTCTAAATAATAGCGAGTTGACCATCAACAGTATAGATAGAAAAAAGAAGATGAATAGTCATCATCTACCGTTTGCATTTAGAATTTTAAAGCTAATTCAATTAGCATTGAAATAAATTACAGTTAAAAAAAAAATAAATAAAAAATTTTGTATTAAAAACTTTTTAATATATTAATTCTTATATAAAGGAATAATAATAACCAATGATTTTTTTTCCTATAAAGAACTTTAATAAGTAACTTAATTACCCTCACACATGCAGAATGATTTCCTGTAAAGTCCGTCCGTTAAAAATAATGTATTACAATAGGGGAGATTAGTAGTAATAAATTTTAACCTATTTTCACAAGTTATGAAAATGGCTTAATGTATATATTCTATAGACGTTTTTAATATCCATATGGTTGTTGAGGGGGATAAGCATTATTATAACCACCTTGTGGTTGTTGTTGAGAATAACCAGTAAATCCATTTTGTGGTAAAGGAGGAGGAGGAGGATAGTTATTATTATAATTTGCATATCCCTGATCATCTTCAAGTAATTCTTTCACTTCCCACACATTTTGTTTGCTTCCAACAGAAAATTCAAGATCTTCTTTGGTAATAGAATCCCAATATTTATAAACCATCATCACACCTAAAAGAGTGCAAATAGTTCCAAAGAATAGGCCATCGATATAATGTTTAGCAGTATCACATATCTTAACGGAGAATAGATAAAGGATAACTTGTCCAATGATATAGAAAGAGATACCAAATAAAATATCTCCAAGTGGCCAGCGATCATCGAGGGTATTAAGGACAAGAACGATTTGAAGAATGAAATAAATAGCAAGGGCAGCACCATTAAAAACGTATAATACAATCCATAGTGCAACAGGTTTTAAAGGATCAAATCCAGCTATGTTTTGGAAAGTAGCAAAACCAATGCCAAAGACAATTAAGAAAACTAAAAATGAAGTGATTCGAATGAACTATAAAAAAAAAAAAAAAAAAAAAAAAAAAATGTTTATTATATTAACTTTAGTATAAGTAAATAAATAGATTGATATAATATGTAAAAATCGTACAATCGCTTACTTACCCAAAGCGAAAGCGGTGTGCCATCTTCAGCAAATTGAAAACCGACGAACCCATTTAGTAATAAACACCAGAAGGTGGCTGTAATAAGGCCAATATGGGCAGCAACAAAATACTAATAATAATAAGAAAAAAAAAAAAAAAAAACATTAATATAATATTAATTTAAATACACAAATTACGTTCAAGTATTAAATTAGAAAAATTACAGGATAAACGTTAGATGCAGCAGGAACAATTCCGGAAACAAGTAGTAAGTCTAGGAAGGTGACCATCATATATAAATAAAAAAACATAACAATTTCTTTCCGACCTATACAAATGAATCGTTAAATATTTTAATTGTTAATTTCACCTCATTTAAAATAGAATAATCATTAAAATATTATACAAACCAACAGCGGTGTATTTTGATTTTATGTGATAAATCATGATGGAAGTCATGACGAGAGCGATGACATAGATAATAATGGTTGCTTAAAAATAGCAGACAATATATTTTCGTAGAAAGGCAAGTTAGAAAATACTTTAACATATGAAAACATACGATATAAAAGGTATTTACCAGGTTGGAAAATTAGTGTGTTAGCGATTTCAACGTTTCTCGAGTAACATTCTGGCTCAACCCCTTCAGCACGTCCAACGAGCGGGCATACGGCGAGAGCAACCGTCTCGCAGATTTGTGTAAAATCTCCAAAAAATGACATTATTTAAAATAAATCTAGAAATTTTTGGTTATTTTTAAAAAAAATAGGGATGTAAGGAAAGTAAAGAACGTATGTTTTTGGCTAGTGAACAGAGATAATTTTTTTTTTTTTTTTTTTTTTTAAAGGATCTTTATTTTAAAGACCTTTATGTACAATATTAAAAAAATAAAATTCTATAATATCTCTTCCCCTTTATGGAGAGTATCACGTTATGAAACAGTGTTCTTTTACAAGAACAATTTTTTTTTATGGTATTTTAATTTCGGGAAGGCGAATTTCGAATATTAAAAAAGATTTTGCAGGAAAAAGCTGGTTTTATAAATTTAAATACGCACGTAATGCACCACAGGGGTTTGTACGAAATGAAGACTATCTGTACCAAAATAGACTATCTGTACCAAAATTGGTATATGATCGAGTAGCTTTTGCAAATAATTTGTTTTTGGAAACTGTTATTATAATATATATTTAGTTTGCGTAACTTTCAATTTCCCCACGCAGAGTCACGCGAATTAGATGTCTTGCGTTTATGTGCTTTTACATTACTGGTTAACACAATTACATGATAGGTCACTTCAGAAATTTTTTATTAATATCACAAAGAAAGTTACAGTATGCATCTATCAAATAATATATCAACCTTTATCACGTAAATTTACAAATTAATTATTTATATAACTTGAGCCAGCAATTTTGAATTGTGTCATTTCATTGCGTTTTCTCACCTTGTTTATCACGTGATTGTTATAGAGAAATAAGCTGGTATAAAGTGTTTGAATTATTATCATTATTATCGCTTAAATTTTTATCCATCTATTTCCCATCTTAAATTAACATTATTAAGTTCTACAAAATATATTATTAAGAATTGCTCCTACGAAATAACATTGTTCTTAAACTACTCTGTTGAATATATTCTTTAATATATCCATTAGAATTGGGCGTAGAATTGGGCGAAGGTTGATTAGTGGACGTGTCAGAAGTATAAAAGCCAGTCTACTCATTTGACAAATTTTAAAATGCATGTTAGATTTTTAACTTTTAACATCCTAGCAGTGTTGGCAAATGACCCTATTTTTTTTTAATATGCCTTGGTAGGAATCATAAAGAAATTGAATCATAGTGAAATTTGGGGTTTCAAACATATAAACCTATTAACATCCACTTATTATTAACAACTCTAACCCTAACTCACACCCCAAAAAGGTTTTTAAATTTTATATTCACCATGATCCGCGATATTATTTACGAGAATTTTAAAATTCAAATTTCATAAGTGTCCCAAGAGAAAACCAGACTTCTGGCTTACAAGTTTATTTTCATGTCGGACATGTTTTAGTCAGACAAAATTATAAACTTGTAAGTCAGAAAGTCTGATTTTCCCTTGGTAACACTCAAATAATATCCAAAATTTTCTGTTCCTAAATCTTAGTCATATAGTCATATGACTTTTTGGTCATTTTAATCACCGGTTATATAATATACAGTCAACTCTCTAAGTGTACTCTATCGGGAATGGTGCACAACATTCTAAAAAAATTGGTTGTGTTCCTGTAAATAATTAATCACATAGTTTTTGGTACAAGAAAGAGGATGATAAAATTCTATGAGATAATGTAAAGATATTTTTTATCGATTAATTAAAATATCTTGCACTTAATGTACACTTAGAGAGAGTTAACTGTAATTAATTAACAAATGACTGATCATAAAAAAGGTCATTGGCCAATACTGCATCCTATCGACTAACCTTTACAAGACCCTCAACAGCTGCCTGATACAACTTAGATAATCCTTGCTTTCCTAATTCCGCTCCTTTATTAGTTGCTTGTTCATGTGCCATTCCTAATGCTGTATCAATTTCTTTCTCATGACGTGTTAAGGTTGGAACAACAAAAGATTCGTAGAGAATCGCTGCTCCCTAACGTGATGTAATCGATTTTAAAAATTTTAATATAATCATAGTTGCTAAAAAAGTAATAATCTGATTCGTTTAAATTTTAATTAATGTTACCCGAGTTTGTGGAAGGATCAACCACAGTATGAATATCATCTTTATTTCGTAATAAAATGGCAACCTGGAAAGAAGATATATTTTAGTTATAATGATTGAACAGAATAAATCAAATTTAAAAATTTAAAGAACGTACCAAAAAACAAATTTATCTGCAGTATCTTCTCCAACTGAGAATAAAGCCATGACAATCCAGTAAATCAACCAAGACATTATACTTTGTACGTCGTTTGTCTTAACAGCTTTAAAGGATGCATATGCAGGATATAAATAACCTGCTAAATTGCTACAATGAATAAGGACTTAGTACCATTTATTAAAAAAGTTGAAATTGTTAACATTAATTTATATGTCAAGAATATTAAACTTACCTTACAACAAAGTACATTATGTAGCCAAACATCTTTTCACAAATACGTCGTTGATCGAGTTACCCTTGTTTTTTTTTTTTACGATTTATTTACTGTGGCGATATAAGTAATACAGAAAAAAGAGAAAAAGGATTAAAATGTATTTTTCACGCAATCCTAAACATTTTCTCCTTTTTTGTTTTATTCGTAAATAGTGTCTTTAAATCTTGAAAGTTTTAACGTTAGCATTATCTGTTATTAAAGTAATAATGAAGGTATCACTAAACACGTGATGCATTACTTTTATGCTCGGATCAGATGATATTTATTACGTATACGGTACTGCAGAACTGCGTTATACTAAATTATCAAGTTATAGCGGGTAAAGAATATGATCCTTTGTTAAGTATTGAAGGAAGGAAAGTAGCTTTGCTCGAACGTCAAATAAAGGCAAGAAAAGAAGCAGCCGAAGCTGAAGCAATTGAATTGCAGACGACAATTGAGAATAAGCTTGGATAGATACATAAAACTTTATCGCTTTATATGTTTAAAAAAGGTTGTAAAAATTAAAATTAAAATTTGTAGTATAAAAAAAAGATCGGAATTTGATAATTTGATATGGTTGGATATACTAGACTGTTTTTTTTTAATTTAATTAAATTTGAGTTATATAAAATCCGATCGAGACACTTTTAGCGCCATTAGAACGATAACAATCGTCTCTACAACTTTACTTAGAAGCTCAAGAAAGATTTACTTCGTAAAAAAAAATACTTTTATATGTAAGCAAGCCCCATTCCTGCATTATAGAAAAACCAGAGATCTTAGGAACCGCACAAAAAATGCGCGGCATTGGCCTGCATTAACGTAATTTTATAATTGTGGCTGGAAATTATTTTTTTAATTTTTTATTCTAAAAAAGGAAATTTGTAGAAAATTAGTGTTCCTCACGGGACGGTTCGGGCCGGGTTTCAACAAAGATCCGGATCCGAACCGAAAAACCGGGGCGGGTCCA